CTATAGTACATCTCATTTAACTAGAACAGACCTTCAGCACATCTCATTCAACAAGTACAGACCTATAGTACATCTCATTTAACTAGAACAGACCTTCAGCACATCTCATTCAACAAGTACAGACCTATAGTACATCTCATTTAACTAGAACAGACCTTCAGGACATCCCATTCAACAAGAACAGACCTATAGTACATCTCATTTAACTAGAACAGACCTTCAGGACATCCCATTCAACAAGTACAGACCTATAGTACATCTCATTTAACTAGAACAGACCTTCAGCACATCCCATTCAACAAGAACAGACCTATAGTACATCTCATTTAACTAGAACAGACCTTCAGGACATCCCATTCAACAAGTACAGACCTATAGTACATCCCATTTAACTAGAACAGACCTTCAGGACATCCCATTCAGCAAGAACAGACCTATAGTACATCTCATTTAACTAGAACAGACCTTCAGGACATCCCATTCAACATGTACAGACCTATAGTACATCTCATTTAACTAGAACAGACGCTTCAGGACATCCCATTCAACAAGAACAGACCTATAGTACATCTCATTTAACTAGAACAGACCTTCAGCACATCTCATTCAACAAGTACAGACCTATAGTACATCTCATTTAACTAGAACAGACCTTCAGCACATCTCATTCAACAAGTACAGACCTATAGTACATCTCATTTAACTAGAACAGACCTTCAGCACATCTCATTCAACAAGTACAGACCTATAGTACATCTCATTTAACTAGAACAGACCTTCAGCACATCTCATTCAACAAGTACAGACCTATAGTACATCTCATTTAACTAGAACAGACCTTCAGCACATCCCATTCAACAAGAACAGACCTATAGTACATCTCATTTAACTAGAACAGACCTTCAGCACATCCCATTCAACAAGAACAGACCTATAGTACATCTCATTTAACTAGAACAGACCTTCAGGACATCCCATTCAACAAGTACAGACCTATAGTACATCCCATTTAACTAGAACAGACCTTCAGGACATCCCATTCAGCAAGAACAGACCTATAGTACATCTCATTTAACTAGAACAGACCTTCAGGACATCCCATTCAACATGTACAGACCTATAGTACATCTCATTTAACTAGAACAGACCTTCAGGACATCCCATTCAACAAGAACAGACCTATAGTACATCTCATTTAACTAGAACAGACCTTCAGCACATCTCATTCAACAAGTACAGACCTATAGTACATCTCATTTAACTAGAACAGACCTTCAGCACATCTCATTCAACAAGTACAGACCTATAGTACATCTCATTTAACTAGAACAGACCTTCAGCACATCTCATTCAACAAGTACAGACCTATAGTACATCTCATTTAACTAGAACAGACCTTCAGCACATCTCATTCAACAAGTACAGACCTATAGTACATCTCATTTAACTAGAACAGACCTTCAGCACATCTCATTCAACAAGTACAGACCTATAGTTCATCTCATTTAACTAGAACAGACCTTCAGCACATCCCATTCAACAAGAACAGACCTATAGTACATCTCAATCAGCAAGATCAGACCTACAGTACATCACATTCAACCAGAACAGCCGAGGAGATTGTGACCACGTGGAGAGTTGTTCTCACTACACTATCCGAGTTAAACAGCTTACTAAGAGGCCCCATGCACCCAAACATGTTCCGTTCACATACTACAGTTCACATAACGTGTTGTCAGTGCAATGGCCGCTAGATGTCAAAGTCGAAAATCCTTTGAGGTTCCTAATTCTTCACCTTGACAACAGTATTGACGGCTCTAACGAAACAACAGTATTGACGGCTCTAACGAAACAACAGTATTTACAGTTCTAATGAGCCAACAATATCTACAGTTCTAGCAAGATAACTCTAACAATAACATTATTTGCATGAGATTGGATACATTGATTCACCTGCGTGTACATTTTGTAAACAGGTGCCTGAGAGTGTTATACATTTATTATGTGATTGTATTCACACAAAAGTTCACACTTGTTTCGTATAAGTCGTATGGCACACTTGCTCGTATAATAATCTCAATAAATGCCATCTGTTTAATGGTGAACAAAATATCTACACTATGAGCAGAAAAGGGCACAAAAAATCTTTAAATGTATCCCCCAAAAATATTAAGATACCATCGGTCATGCAAATTTATTGCTTTTACAAATAATAATCAGTCCATATTTTTGCATTTTGGTCCACACATCATTTTTAGACTTATTGTAGACTTAATATTCAAATTTCAGAGAATATGTATGTGATGTAAAAATGATTGATGCCTTGCATGTTATAAGATAGTTAAACCTGCAATAGCCTCACTTCATATACAATATGTACAATATTACGTATGTATGTATGTATATTTGTATACATGGCATTGTAAGCACCTATTGGGATATACAAACACAAATAAAAAGGTAAAATAATATTTACAGTTGTAATGAGTCAACTGACTTTACACTTCTAATGAGTCAACTGACTTTACACTTTTAATGAGTCAACTCACTTTACACTTTTAATGAGTCAAGTGACTTTAACACTTTTAATGAGTCAAGTGACTTTACACTTTTAATGAGTCAAGTGACTTTACACTTCTAATGAGTCAACTCACTTTACACTTTTAATGAGTCAAGTGACTTTAACACTTTTAATGAGTCAAGTGACTTTACACTTCTAATGAGTCAACTGACTTTACACTTTTAATGAGTCAAGTGACTTTACACTTCTAATGAGTCAACTGACTTTACACTTTTAATGAGTCAACTCACTTTACACTTTTAATGAGTCAACTCACTTTACACTTTTAATGGGTCAACTCACTTTACACTTTTAATGAGTCAAGTGACTTTACACTTTTAAAGAGTCAAGTGACTTTACACTTCTAACGAGTCAACTGACTTTACATTTCTAATGAGTCAACTGACTTTACACTTCTAATGAGTCAACTGACTTTACATTTCTAATGAGTCAACTGACTTTACATTTCTAATGAGTCAAGTGACTTTACATTTCTAATGAGTCAACTGACTTTACACTTCTAATGAGTCAACTCACTTTACACTTTTAATGAGTCAAGTGACTTTACATGAGTCGTGTCATCCGCAGACGTTACAGTATACTGATGTGGTTTGTCACAGAAGATAATCACACACAAGCTCCGAGGTGCAGTTAGCGGCTGTGAAGAACCCTTGTTATGGCCGAGTTTAGAGGTGCGACAGCTGGTGTGGCCTAAGTGACCATATAAACACACAAGGGTCTGGATCGATGGTAACACCGACAATATCAGATTTGTGTGTTGTGCAGGACAATACTATATTGGCATCTGATTATCACATGACGATCAGGTCAATATCAACATCTTGCGGCAGGGGATGGCGCGAGGCATATATTCACGGGGTTCCATGACTGCTCTCTTCAACGACATGCCAACTAGTTTAATATTCAACTTGAATTAAGTGGGAGTTTTATATAGAAGTATAAGTGGTAAATATGGCATCGTGAAATGTCAAGCATGTCCCTGTCGCAGTGCTCGATAGGAGGCTGGTGGTCACAATTTGTCATACACAACTATTAGTGGCTGTGATAGTATGACGCATTACGCTTAATTCGACTGAACTTTCTCTCCAGTCAGGCTCTCCATATTATCCTCAGCTGTTGGCATTTATAAGTTTAACTAGAATAATGGCGGGGCACTGTTCAACTGGATCACTGACAGATACTGGAAGTAGAGTTAGAGTCTGGTGTTTGAAGAGGGTAAGTTAGTTAGAGCCAGTCTTGTTTGCAGACAGTGCAACTGGTTTGATTAAATTCAATGCTGCCATGCCTAAACACGAAGACAAGTGAAGAGGCAGTATAATGCTCTCGTGTTTGACAACATAATCATTCATCTTTGAGCTAGTTTACTGTCGTTTGCAAGCAGAAGAATTTTTAGGGCAGCAAGTTTTCTTCTGAAATTCAGTTTTATAGACGCTTAGTAATCCATACGGCACATTGGCAAACCACGTGCTGAAATTGATATAACAAGGCAGCCTGTATGTAACTGAATAAAACTGCAAATATGTGTCGACCTGATTGGAGCCTTGCATTCGGAAGTGACTAGCCTCCTGTAGGATCAGTCTCGTGTCACAAAGTCAAACATGACTAGCCTCCTGTAGGATCAGTCTCGTGTCACAAAGTCAAACATGACTAGCCTCCTGTAGACTCAAATCTCGCGTCACAAAGGCAAACATGACTAGCCTCCATGCAGGCTCTTTTCCCGTATAACTGAAACAATGTACATAAACTAGTCAGTAATGTGCATAAGCCTCCAGAGGATGTGAGCACAGACTAGTCAGTAACGTGTATAAACCTCCAGAGGATGTGAGCACAGGCTAGTCAGTAAAGTGTATAAACCTCCAGAGGATGTGAGCACAGACTAGTCAGTAATGTGCATAAGCCTCCAGAGGATGTGAGTACAGACTAGTCAGTAACGTGTATAAACCTCCAGAGGATGTGAGCACAGACTAGTCAGTAACGTGTATAAACCTCCAGAGGATGTGAGCACAGTCTAGTCAGTCACGTGTATAAACCTCCAGAGGATGTGAGTACAGGCTAGTCAGTGACGTGTATAAACCTCCAGAAGATGTGAGCACAGACTAGTCAGTAACGTGTATAAACCTCCAGAGGATGTGAGCACAGACTAGTCAGTAACGTGTATAAACCTCCAGAGGATGTGAGCACAGTCTAGTCAGTCACGTGTATAAACCTCCAGAGGATGTGAGTACAGGCTAGTCAGTGACGTGTATAAACCTCCAGAGGATGTGAGCACAGACTAGTCAGTAACGTGTATTAACCTCCAAAGGATGTGAGCACAGACTAGTCAGTAAAGTGTATAAACCTCCAACGGATGTGAGCACAGACTAGTCAGAGCCAACAGTAAGAAGGGAGAATGAAGTAATAAATTAACTAGTATACTCACGTAAGATATCATGGGTAAATTGAAAGCCGCCGCTATCCTGCCCTCGTGAACACACGTTTCCTGTGGGCCGAGATACACAGAGATATTCTTCTCCCGCAATAAAACAGTTTCCTTGATGCTGTTTCCCTCATTCCCATGCGTCTCGGCAATAACATAATCCAGTGTATAGTTGGGAAGAATTGATGAGTCGTTGTTCACTTCCTCAATGGCATAAGTTAAGGCCCCCGATATGAAGCTGCCAGGCCGTTTGTATAACACGAATGAATCCTGCGGGGGTTCAGACCCTGTCAGGTAGCCAATCTTTATGATGTTTTTGGCGTTCACAGGTAGTATTCCAATGATGAGGTTGACACACAGTACTAACGGGGCCACGTGGTGGAGGCCGAACCCCCAAGCCCTGCAGACCAACCTGGTCCGTCGGTGTGCCAGCATTCCTGGGAGTGCAAGGACTGGTGAGAGGGAGTCGGCCAACTGAGCGAGTGTCTACCCAGGCGCTCTCCGCTAGTACGGCCTCCGACGCCGATCGATGCTACAGCCAGCGCTCTACGATGACTGCTGGGAGTGCACGCTTCCCTCAGTTGAGTCTAGTAGGGAGGGAGAGAGACGCCCTCTCTGTAGTTGGTATGTGAAATACTCACGGTTGGGTGCGTTCACTTGTTGACATTTATAACGCATAAATAATAATTGATAATAACGGAAGTTCCTCCCCCTTGACAACAGAAAAGAGAGACAAGCAGGATTGAACCGAAGGGTGTACATCTTCTGACATGTAAAAGAGTTTTTGCGAAATTAACCGTTAAATATTTACTAACATCCAGTTGATGGTAATTTAGTACAAGGTGTTAGTGTTACTACATCCAGTTGATGGTAATTTAGTACAAGGTGTTAGTGTTACTACATCCAGTTGATGGTAATTTAGTACAAGGTGTTAGTGTTACTACATCCAGCTGATGGTAATTTAGTACAAGGTGTTAGTGTTACTACATCCAGTTGATGGTAATTTAGTACAAGGTGTTAGTGTTACTAACATCCAGTTGATGGTAATTTAGTACAAGGTGTTAGTGTTACTACATCCAGCTGATGGCAATTTAGTACAAGGTGTTAGTGTTACTACATCCAGCTGATGGCAATTTAGTACAAGGTGTTAGTGTTACTAACATCCAGCTGATGGTAATTTAGTACAAGGTGTTAGTGTTACTAACATCCAGTTGATGGTAATTTAGTACAAGGTGTTAGTGTTACTAACATCCAGTTGATGGTAATTTAGTACAAGGTGTTAGTGTTACTACATCCAGCTGATGGTAATTTAGTACAAGGTGTTAGTGTTACTAACATCCAGTTGATGGTAATTTAGTACAAGGTGTTAGTATTACTACATCCAGTTGATGGTAATTTAGTACAAGGTGTTAGTGTTACTACATCCAGCTGATGGTAATTTAGTACAAGGTGTTAGTGTTACTACATCCAGCTGATGGTAATTTAGTACAAGGTGTTATTGTTACTACATCCAGTTGATGGTAATTTAGTACAAGGTGTTAGTGTTACTAACATCCAGCTGATGGTAATTTAGTACAAGGTGTTAGTGTTACTACATCCAGCTGATGGTAATTTAGTACAAGGTGTTAGTGTTACTAACATCCAGTTGATGGTAATTTAGTACAAGGTGTTAGTGTTACTAACATCCAGTTGATGGTAATTTAGTACAAGGTGTTAGTGTTACTAAAATCCAGTTGATGGTAATTTAGTACAAGGTGTTAGTGTTACTAACATCCAGTTGATGGTAATTTAGTACAAGGTGTTAGTGTTACTCACATCCAGCTGATGGTAATTTAGTACAAGGTGTTAGTGTTACTACATCCAGCTGATGGTAATTTAGTACAAGGTGTTAGTGTTACTACATCCAGCTGATGGTAATTTAGTACAAGGTGTTAGTGTTACTCACATCCAGCTGATGATAATTTAGTACAAGGTGTTAGTGTTACTACATCCAGCTGATGGTAATTTAGTACAAGGTGTTAGTGTTACTACATCCAGCTGATGATAATTTAGTACAAGGTGTTAGTGTTACTAACATCCAGCTGATGGTAATTTAGTACAAGGTGTTAGTGTTACTCGTCATTGTGCCATGCACGTCACGTGATAGCAATATGTATGATGTTCTTGATCGGGGCTTGTTCCTCATAGTGAGCATGGGCAAATACTATTCAGGTTAGTGGTAACTAACTATACGATTGACACAGTTCTCAATCCTAATCAATGGGTTATTAATACAAAGCTATTCAGGTGCTGGGGTTCTGTGAACACTGAAGTAAGTTACGTACGCTAGCTTCCTCGGATCCCTGGTGTCTAAGTTTTGAACTGGCATGATAGTCGGGAAGCATGATAGTCGGGAAGCATGTTAGTCGGGAAGCCTGTTAGTCGGGGGGTCGTGTCAGCAGTTTCACAAATAGTTCTCTCGGAACACAGCTACGTGTGTGCTGATATGTTTAATGTAACAACACGGCATTGCGGGGATGAGAAATATTACTTACAAACATTTGTAAGTGCGCTTTTCAAGGAAACTCCATGTTGCTAGCCACGGACATTATCGCTGAGTTTTGACTATATGGTTGCTATCAGACTTGACGTCGGCAATGACGGGTACCCGAGAGTACATGTATCTGGCAGTGTGTTCATGCACAACCACCGCCAACAGAAAGGGAAAAAACACGAAACAAGTTTACTTTTAAAAACAGCCACTTGCTATGATCAGAGTGTCGTATCTTAGACACAATGTAATCACGTTATTAAAACACAATGTTCATGTTAAACTGCTTGAAAGATGGATGTGTTTTTTCTTTTCAAACATTTGTCATTAATGTAAAAAGATTGTTATGACGACACGGATAAAAATATCAGCGTGTTTCCTGTGATGATAGATCCCCGGCATCCCCTGGTGTGGTTCTCGATACATAAATAGTTCCAGCACTACCCGGCTGCACTTGCAGTAAAGTACGTGTGTGCTTGATTGGAGGGATCGCGTGATGATTCTTCATGCGCCTCAAAATGCTCTGCCGAGTCCTGTATTTGTGGCGTGTCATATCACGACTGGATCCCAGCCTGGATCATACCCTCGGGGCTTACCGACGTGTGTCTAGGATCCGTGTTACTTCGGGCTGCCCACCCACATGACACCAATACTGTTCAAAGCGGTGATAGAACAAACCCACATGTGGCTAGACCCTAGTTACGCCTCTGAATTTGCTTAGATTTTCTGTATTCCATTGTTTGACAAATTACTAGAGAAGCCTACAATATAATCAATATTCTATGGCAGAGCACCTGTCTAACTATACTGCTAGTGTATTACTAGAGAAGCTTACAATATAATCAATGTTCTGTGGCAGAGCACCTGTCTAACTATACTGCTAATGTATTACTAGAGAAGCCTACAATATAATCAATGTTCTATGGCAGAGCACCTGTCTAACTATACTGCTAATGTATTACTAGAGAAGCCTACAATATAATCAATGTTCTATGGCAGAGCACCTGTCTAACTATACTGCTAATGTATTACTAGAGAAGCCTACAATATAATCAATGTTCTATGGCAGAGCACCTGTCAAAGAGCACCTGTCTAACTATACTGCTAATGTATTACTAGAGAAGCCTACAATATAATCAATGTTCTATGGCAGAGCACCTGTCTAACTATACTGCTAATGTATTACTAGAGAAGCCTACAATATAATCAATGTTCTATGGCAGAGCACCTGTCTAACTATACTGCTAATGTATTACTAGAGAAGCCTACAATATAATCAATGTTCTATGGCAGAGCACCTGTCTAACTATACTGCTAATGTACTGCTAATGTCTTACTAGAGAAGCCTACAATATAATCAATGTTCTATGGCAGAGCACCTGTCTAACTATACTGCTAATGTTTTACTGGAGAAGTCTACAATAAAATCAATGTTTTAGCCTACTGAGATGTCAGAAACATAATTGTTTCAAAAAGGTTTTTCGTCTTTCATGTTTCTTTTATTTATCAAGAAGTGCACATAAATAAAGAACAGATTACCCTCGCGTGCTTCTCTGTCATTTTAATGGTCATCCACGCCAGGCGAAAGTTTTTTCTTGTCCCAAGAATGACAAACCCATTCGCAATTTCTTGCAGCTAACCAAGTTATAACAGTTAATGGTCTCTCCGGAGTTATGGTTAGGTCAGAGCGTAATTGAAAACTTTTCCGAATCCCAACCTGGCCTGTGATACAAGGGAAGTACGTACGCCTCTGGGACAAGTATATCTGAAGCAACTTGAACACCCAATGGTGGACATGGACAAATGAAGCCCTGATTAAAAAAAGATCAACAGTATATGTTTACATTCATTCCTTTACCAAATTTCATGCACGTTCGACGTATAAAATATAATTCTCAATAGAACACAAGTGTCCACTTGATAAACGGATCAGAGATTAATCGTAATGTTATCAATTATGTAAGTGTTAATTCTACAGACTTTCTTCAGTGTCGCCTTGGCTAATGACAAATGAGCCATGGTCAAAAACATGATCAGTGTTTACCTGCCGACTTGACGGGCACTTTTGGAAGTCTTACAGTCTAAGTAAACTTAGACTCAGTATTATTCCTTACACGGCTATACTGAGTCTAACAAAACTTGTGGAAGGTCGCGTCAGGTGACCTTTTCAATTGACCAATCAGATTCGTACCCGAACGATTCCGAATGCTATTTTTTGTACGATTGCTTCCGAGTGATGCACATGGAGCACGCCACAACAGTGAGTAAACAGTCGCTGAAAATAGCGTTTTGTCAGTATTCAAGGATGTCAGCTTGTGGAAATATTAGCTAATGATAACCATGTCAACAGAAACCCAGAAGCGTATATTCTGCAGGCCATATATCTGTGTTTTATGCGGGTTTTCATTTGTTGTGAGATCAGTGTTGGCGACCGGGGAAGAGAAAATCCATTTTGTAAGTCCCGCCGAACCCTAAATAGTAGCCGTTGTCCAATTGGTTAAATCAGTTCAGTCGTCTCGCGTTTGATTGGACGGTCATAGGTCGCTCAAAGGTTACCCGACGCGACCTTCCACAAGGTTTTGTTAAACTCAGTATAGCAGTGCAACGAATAATACTGAGCCTAAGTTTGCTTAGACTGGGGAGTCTTAATGACACAGTGTCACATCAAGTCTTGGCATGACACACAGGCCGAGTGTCACATCAAGTCTTAGCATGACACACAGGCCTGAGTGTCACATCGAGTCTTGGCATGACACAGGCCGAGTGTCAAATCAAGTCTTAGTATGACACACAGGCCGAGTGTCACATCGAGTCTTAGCATGGTACAGGCCGAGTGTCACATCAAGTCTTAGCATGACACTCAGTCCGAGTGTCACATCAAGTCTTAGCATGACATACAGGCCGAGCGTCACATCAAGTTTTGGCATGACACAGGTCGAGTTCTCGCATCGACTCTTAGCATGACCTTC